CGACTGACCCCCACAGTTCCGTATTGGAAATCATGCGATCCCCTAAAATTTTTCCTTAGATTCTTCTAGATTCTCCTACTTCTTAGAGTAAATTTTAAATTTTCACGCATCTCAAATCGGAGAGACATTTGTTTCCGCAAAGCATAAATGATATCCAATTGCATAACTAAAACTCCCACCGCAATCTTTGTATATTACACGGAGATATCTCTGACATAAAAGTCAAAACCATTATAATTTCCGAACATATAAAGTTATTTAAAGCTATTTAGTGGACTTAGATCCCAAGCAATTTCAAAAAACGTCTCATAGATTTCTCGTTATTGAAAAACATCTAAAAGTTATATACTCTTTTTTTCGCGTCCGACAAGGACGTGAACGAGCTGCAGCTGGTGAAAAAAATATAGTAACTTAATCAACAAACTGTCCATCCAATATTCGTTTTTATTGACTTTCCTAACTTCTACAATATCTCTCATTCGCTATTAACCCTATCACTTTCAAGGCTGAAATAAATTCCCATCTAAAAGAGTTCATTTCGTTCAATTCCTATAAATCGTACGCTTATTATTAGGAGCAGTTTAGTCCACAATAGCGCGTTGTTACCATATGGCTTACTTGATCAATTTTAAAAACATGGAATGAGCATCACGGCTTTACTAGCTTTACTTTCCTAGTAGGATTTGGCAAGAAAATGAGGAGCGAGCTTGCAGAGGCCCTGCCATGCAGTATATCGGAGAAAAGTCAAACAGATAGCATCTCTCGGCATCTGGGTGATATTAATTCTGCCTTTCAGTTTGTCTTTTTGCCGACGGGGTTAGAATACTAAACAATTGTACTGTGTTTCTATTTGGTTTTTATTAGCATAAATAGGCAAACATTAGAGCATACATTTTTAAATTTCAGGCATCTGGAATCGGAGAGACATTTGTTCCCAAAAGCATAAATGATCTCCAATTGAGTAACTAAAACTCCACCCGCAATCTTGATATATTACAAGCAAATATTTCCGAGATAAAAGTCTCAACCGTTATAATAAGCTGACATAGAGAATTATTCAAAATGATTCAGCGGACCTAGATTCCTAGTAATTTCAAACAATGTCTCATTGCTGTCTCGTTATTGAAAAACGTCTACAAGTTTTTTCTCTTCCTTTCGCGTCTGACAAGGACGCAAAAGAACTGCAACAGTTGAAAAATATAAAGTAAATAAACCAACAAACCGTCCATCAAATTTTCATTTTTATTAACTTCCTAACTTCTACAATTAGGAGCAGTTTAGACCACAATAGCGCGTTGTTATTATATGGCTTACTAGATCGATTTTAAAAACTTGGAATAAGCAGCAGACAGCCTTAGGATTTGGCGAGAAAATGAGCACCGAGTTTGCAGAGGCCCTGCCATACACTATATAGGAGGAAAGTCAAACAAATAGCACCTCTGACGTCTGACTGATATTAATTCTGCCTTTCAATTTGTCTTTTTGCCAACGCGGTTAGAATTCTATATAATGG